CAACCTTACCACCATCATTGAGCCGATTGTCTAGATAATGTGGGACCCTCAACGTCTCACAACCCTATGGGCCTTCACGGGCTCTTACAGGGATAGCTTTACTTTTACTTTACTTTACCATAGGCTATGTAAACATTCCAAGGCTGCTTCATAAAAGTTTAACAACCCCTCCCCCCTACATAAGGAGCAGGCAGTGTTGCAACTTTCTGTTTTGGTGCCATCTCAACATACACATGCACAATTATGCTGCTATCACCAGGACATTAATACTGATTAAACTTTTGACTGAACACATCCGTTCCCTTATATATGCTACATCTATAGGTTGGACTAATTCTTGTGGTGGATGCATATCCACTGTGTCATCTCTGACTCTAATGAGACTGGCTGGGGATGACACTGCCATGATGACTTTTCCTGTAATTTTTTATTTACATTCAAAATATGATTAATATAGGATGTAAGATATTTTTAGCACACATTTATCATCTGTTAATTATGCTAATTAAGATTCCATTATTTTATAAGCAAACGGAAAAAAAAACAAGGACATTCACAGTAGAGGCACAAAAACAGTGCACAGTGCAAAACATGGTTGGGATACCAGACCACACTTCGTTCTTTGGTGGTTTTTAGTCTGACAGTACTGCTTCCTGCTTAGATATGGTCTTGTTACGTTACATTTGGTCAATTCACGTTGTTTTGGGAATCCTAACCATATTTTAAACATTCATCCCCGCATCGTCATAAAGGTTCGACCACACAGAGCGCTACGTACGCTATGTTCGCTATACGAACAGAAAAATATCTCCCTTTATTGCCACTGTGACTGGCCACACAGACTTCCGTACGCTATGTACCCTATGTTAGCTGCGTCGCAGAGTGTACACAGCGTACGTAGCGTACGTAGCGAACATAGCGTATCGCTCTGTGGGATGTCGGGTTAAGACTTGGGTTTCTCCTGGCGGTGACTATGACTTCCAATAGATGGCAGTTCGTTTCTCCAACTTACATGAAGAACAGAAGCTGCTGATGCTATGGTTGGAATCAGAGTGTGCAGGCTTCTCGCTAGATGTCTCTACAGGCGGCGTGGCAGTGACAGGACAGCTGCTACTGTCCATAGAATGGCTGGATGTCGAGGGGGATGTCGGGGGATCCCCAGGGGGACTACTCAGGTGCGGGACATCGTAGTGATGTTCACTGCAGGAGCGAGATAGCCCGCCGTTCTTGCTGTTGGGTGGGTCCGAGTAGGGGTACTCGTAGCACGGAGGCACCGACACGCCTACCACGGTCTGTGTCAAGTCCGGCTGCTGTGAGGGTTGTTGCAGAGACAGGTTCTTCTTGTCGTGCTCCGGGAAGTACTCTGGTTGATATTCTGCAGACAACACAGTTTAAGTGACCTATTTACCGACTGCAAATCTAACGCCACATACAAATACATGTTTATAACCGAGCTGATAGGTTAGCGTGATGCGCCTAATCAGTTTTCCCCAAGTGATTGTTTGTATTTTTAAGACATGTCAGCTGCATCAACTTGGTTTCTTATCATTGTAATTTGTACATTTCCGAATTTGGATTCGAACCGGATAATCCGAATGAGAATTAAATGTAAAATGAATTACATTTTACAAAAACTATGTGAAAACCCAGCAGATACAGACAATACAGTGGAGCAGAGCGAGTTCGTTGGCGAGTGAGTGAGTTAGACGGCTGCTGCTGTGAAGCTGGTGGCAGAGGCAGTTCGGGAACCCAGAGTATGGGGAACGTCCGCCATTGAAAGCCGTTACCAGACAACTACTGGTGAAGATACAGCAGACTGTGAAAATTTAGTACGTACTCTAGTGAATTGCAGAGTGTGTGAATTAGATTTTGCGCTGTAGTTAGTTAGTTAGTTAGTTAGTTATTAGAGAGGGTGGGTTTCCCCATGCACTTAGACCTGTAGTGGTCCATTGTGCTTCCCTCTATGATTTCTATCAGTCTCTATATCCTACCGTTATATAGGTGCTTACCATCAGTCCCGCCCAGCCAGCGAGACCGGCTCTACTGGCTGAGAAGTATCTATAATGCTTCCCCCATCTACCGGAGGTATTAGTGACTGCTGTTGGGCGGGAAACGTCCGCAATTTTGGCTCAGTGACCTCCTTTGGAGGTGTGAGGTTCTTTTACGTGCCGTAAAGCTACGACACGGGACCCACGGCTTAAAGTTCCTCCCGGAGGACTTGTTCCCTGAATTTTTCCGCCCTTAAAAATTTGACGACCTCCGCCAGGTATTTGAACCCGCGTACTACGAGACATGAGGTGGGAACGTTACCTCTATACTACGGAGGCCGCTTTTGCGCTGTACTTACTTGTAGTTAAGTTCTACAAGTGTCCACTAACCCCAATTACCAATCCAAACCCCGTCAATCACGTGACAATATAAATAAATTCTGAACTGGTATAAAATACTATAGTCTCTTTCTTAAAACAAAGTGGAAACAAGTTCATACTTTGCTCACATAACTTTCCTCCACCGACGGATGGTGTGGTTTGTGATAAGATTAATCACCACCCTAACGAACACCCCTCATTGGGTCCTATTCAAGGCCAATTCAAACCACTTCTCATCTTGACAACTAATTTCTCAGAGATGCATCCTGGATTTAGTTCGAAATGTACATTAATATTGAAAGTTCGCCACGACATACAGCGACGCTACAATAAGCACAGTAGATCAGTGGATCCAGACAATTAAACTTGGAAGTAATAAGCAAGGCAGACGCCAGGCATCAGTCACTGGAAGAGTGCCAAGCTAAGTCACGCGACATTTGGTCCACAGCGCCTTGCTTTTATCCGACAACGTGAACAGCCTGCCAATAAAACAAAATAGATTTAACAGTAAATGGCCTTTCCTAGTATATGGCTTTGTGTGTTCGCGCGAGCGAGCTCTTTTTAAAGGAGAGAGCATGCCGAGCAAGATAAATGACACAACGGGAAGTGACAGCATCCGGGAAGCGCGGGTCACACGTGATTTTACAAGACAAAGTGAATCAGCGGCAGATATACGGGTTAAAGCGTTTGTATACTGGAAGAGGTAGAAATGAGATCTCATATTCAGGCCTCAAGCTGGCTAATTATGATAAATATACAGAATCTCTCCGAAATAATGTCGCTATTTAAGTTTACAGCTGTAAGCAATGCGACAAGATAGAACTACAGTGTAGGTCAGCGTAAACTTTCCTTGCGCATGCGTACCATTTGCATATGAACTGCGTCTGTAACTCGGCGGCATACATCTAACTTATAATTAAGTTGCTGCTACGTTTCTCCCAACGTATCCAGGGAAACTGTAGCTCTGTCTTCCGACGTTCATACTTTCAGCGGTTGATGCAAAGTCATTTTTATGGGGGATACTTTTTTCTTTATATAGCTCCCCAGAAAGAAATCTATTGGGCAGAAGTCGATTGAAGGGGAGGCCAAAATACCGGTTTCCCTCAATTCTTTCACTTATTCTGAAATATGGCATTCAATGACTGTCTCACAAAGTCGCCGATATGTGGGGATGTGCCATTTCGCTGTTGTTAAAAAGGGCAAAACTATCCCTGTAACAGGTCGTGGAAGCCTGTATGGTTGTGAGACGTTGAGGCTAACCCCTTTTCTAGAAAATCGGTTCACAGATGGCTGTAAGATTGTCAGTCTTACGCCCCGGCCGCCCTTTACCCCCAGGAAGATTCCTGGTACTCATTTCTGTTAGAGGCTGAGTCAACCCCAGGGCAATAGTGCGGCTGGAAGGATTAGGTCAAATGAAAAAATCCAATGACCTCATCGGGACTTGAACCCGCGACCTCCTGGCTTGTAGCATAGCCCCTCAACCAACTACGCTACCGCTACCTCTATATCAGGCGTAGTAATACTCGTATGTTGTTCTATGAGACCTGATACGCGTAAACAGTTGCATGATCTGTTGTCGTGTTTTATCTTAACGCAGTCAATAAACGATTATAAGTCAAACACCAGCAGTTCTTTAAGTAAATCGCGTACGTTTCTTTTATAACACGGTTTATAGACTTGTATTCAGAAGGGAGCTTGTCTGTAACAGGTATCTCGTTTTCGGGTTAGATCCAAAAAAACAAAAAACAAATCTAGCCTCTAAAACACACACAGACTGATTGATTATTGGGTCTTGTAGCGACATCGCCGCTAGAGCTGCACAGTTTGTAGCATCGTGAAGTCATACGGGTACATGAACACGCACAATGAGGTAAGGTAACAAGCCGTGGAGGCCCATAGCGTTGTGAGACGTCGAGGCCCCCATATTTTCTAGACAATCGGCTCACAGATGGCGGCAAGGTTGTCAGCCTTACGAACCGGTCGCCCTTTACCCCCAGGAAGATTCATGGTACTCATTTCTGTTAGAGTCTTGAGTAGAAACCAGGACCATAATGCGGCTCGAAGGATTAGGTAAATTGAAAAAATCCAATGACCTTATCGGGAATCGAACCCGCGACCTTCCGGTGTGTAGCACAGTGCCTCAACCAACTACGCTACCACGATAACGATAGAGAAATTATTTCGAAGGAGGTAAAATACAAAAGCATTACCCGGTATTTCTTTGAGAGAGCACCGCTAAGCCATTAAAAGCCCCAGTCATGTCAGCCTGTACCCCGATCAACATTCGAACAGTGAAACTCCCAAGTCTAAGTCCAGGACGTTACCGCCATGTCAACCCGCTAGTCCGAAATGTGCAAATATGCATAATTATTCATGCAGCAAACAGTAGAGGAAATTTGACGAAGCCTGTGCGTGGTCTGCTGCAGTAACAAACGCAATTGAATCAAGGAAGAGGGGATTTGTAGGACATCTTCTACGGAAGGGAGTGGGTACAAATTCATAAATACTTTTAGCTGGGAAACCTGAACGGAAAAGATTACTTGGCAGATACAGAGGTAGATTTGAGATTAAGGTATTATAATGTAGCGTGTGGACCATTTACTAGGGAACGACCACGAAACAAACAAGTTCCCACGCCAACAAGATCAACCCCAACAAACAAGGAACTGTTTGGAAACGGTTTTCTAAGCGGTCCGTACCGAGTTGTTTTAACCGACATAAGTTTAGAAGTCAGTCAGTTGTAAGGGAGTTTGTGAAGAGAAGACTTGGTCGGTGGCAGTTCGGAGCCAGCGGGCAACGAAGTGAGCGGAAGCTGAAGAATCTCCACTGTTAGAAGCCATGACCAAGGAATTACTGGTGAAGAAACAGCAAGCTGAAAAGTCTTAGCGTGTGCTGTAGTAAACTGTAAAGTGTGGAGATCATCGATATGGCTATAATTAAGTGTAGTCACGAGTCGTGTATTAAAATGGTCAGTAAATCCAGTCTCCAATCCAAACCCCGTGTACAGTCACACACATACACCTGATATCTCAGAGAAACAGAATTTGAGGATGTAAACGGGACTGAAGTTGTTGAAGACAGTGTCCACCAGCTGGTCTCTGTGGACAGGAAAATGAACCTACCAGTAGCGTAGAAGAAAGATATTTCTTGACCATCTGAACAGCTTTGAACAGCTATGATCTTGTGCCAAGATTCATAGTTTGAGAAGTGCAAACACATACACACACACACACACACACACACGAAACTAAGCAACGTGTTTCATTACTGTTAATGTTTAGTTTAAAGTTTGTTTATTTTTCTATTAATATTAATTTATATAATAATAGTTGTAATTGTATTTGCATTGTATTCACTGTGTGTAGTGTGTCCTTTATTGTTTGTGCAGTTTTGTGTTTTGTTTGAGTGTGTAAGTGTGTTATTTTGTGTGATGTGTGTTACTTGTGTTGTGTCTTATCGTAGTACCACTGCCACCTAGTAAAAAACA